CATTTCATGCAGGTGACATGACCGTTATTTTTTATAACAATTTGTTTGGCCATGCAACCCGCTTGAGAAGCGATGACACCCCGTCTGTCCCCTTGCCCCTATTTATGAAAATTACCCCGTCTTGCTGCATTCTCAAGTAATCAAGGCTGTACACGCTACAGCTTTGAGTGTTATATCTGAATAGGCTGAATAAAAAACCTTTTTATTGCAACTCAAAACAGCCAAGCATACTCATATTACTAGTTGTAGGGTCAAGAAGGTTACAAAGCTTCGTTATAAAAAGAGTTGGGCGACTAGCATCTACCGGTATGTGTGGGATTTCTTAATTTCCCGGCCACGCGGGTGCTCCACCTCCGCTCCATCCCCCAGTTTGGTTGGACCAGCCTGCAGCTCCGGCGACAGATGACTCCGATCCCTGTGCTTGTAGTGCAATCCCTCCTGAAGGCACCTGTTGCTGAAACTGAAGTGTGCTGTTGGCGTTGTTCCCACGGGTGGCTTTCTTTGCCTTTTGATCATCCTCATGAAAGTTACCAGAAGAGTGCGCTGCATTGGATTGGTAACTTCCACCAGTTCCTTGCTGCATTCCGTACGGATCGCCCATTCCTCCTGGTCCATATCCACCACGTTGGTTGAAATGATCTTGGTATCCCATTCCATAAGGTTGTCCACCATAACCTGCATGTTGTGGATTATACTGGTTCTGATATTGACTGTTGTTGTGATGAGAGTTGCGGCCCCGGTAACCACCACCGCTGCCCTTTTGGTAACCAGCTGAACCTCCAGAGTGGTGCGTGTTTGCTTGGTGAGACTGATCATCGTAATGCGGCGCACCATAGCCTTGGCTTTGACCCATCACTTGTTGATACCCAAATCCTCCTTGAGCTACACCGCCGAATTGCCCATAGGCATAGTTGTAACCAATTCCACCTTGATGTTGACCCATGTAGAACTGGTGCTGGCCATAGTGCAAGGCAGGATTTGCATATGGCATTGCTCCTGGCATACCTGGAGGAATGCCATTCGCAGCGGCCGCATTTTCACCTGTAGCAGACTCTCCTCCACTTGTATTCCCAGATGTAGGGGCTGCAGGTGGTTGTGATCCATAAAGTCCCTGTTGAGGTACAGCTTGGGGAGCGCTTGGCGTCGCGCTAGGTCCAGAGATCTGACCGACTTGTGGTTTTCCATGCTGCTGTGGCACTACCCCACCTGCAAGAACAGGACCCGCTGGGGCATGCATACCGACAAATCCATTTCCTGCTGCGTTATAATTATAAATCCCGGCCATACCATATTGATTGTAATTCTGTTGTGAGAATCCAGCTGAAGGTAGGACTGGAGCTGGCACATTGGACTCTTGTGACTTCCCGTCTGGCTTCTCGGTTTTCTGAGTAGTCAAAGTAGCGTTTTCCATCTTGTTCTCAAGTTCATGCACCATGACAGCACCTGGCATTGGAGGCATACCACTGAGTGAGAGTCCTGGTGGCGGTCTGGCAGGTGACATAGTGGATGTTGTGTTTGGTGCTTCTGCCTCTTTGGACGCAGCAGGAGGGGCTTCAGGTAAGGAAACATTTGCAGGAGGTGCTTCCATTGCGTCATTGTCATTACCGAAAGAACCAAAAGCAAAGTCGAGGTTTTGGGCGTCGTCAGTATCTCCCGTTTCCCAGTGTCCCATGTTCAGGACGTTTACAGGCGCTGTGGAAGCTGGAGCTGGTTCCGAAGGAGCTGGCAGGGACTGTTCTACAGAGGAAACCGAAGGAATGGTGGTCGGGAGGGGCTTTTGAGTTGCTGTAGATGGAGCCAATGGTTCAGTCTTCGGAGCTCCTTTACTCCAAGCACCGGCATCACTGACAACTGGTAAGCCAGATTCCAAAGTTGACTCCGGAAGAACAGCTCTTTCTTCTGGTTCCTGCTGTTGAACAGACTTCGACGGAGTCGTTGCAACGGGAGGAGACATGTGAGAAGTCGGGGGTGCCACCGGAGTTGGTGCAGGCGCTGGAAGCTTCGGTTTTTCAGCTCGAATTAGATGAGCAGAACCCTTTGTGGCCCAAACATTGCCAGACGCAGGAACTTTCGCCCTCGGAGAATTTTCAAGGGTTGCACTGATACCTGCGGGCGTGGGGTCGTCTTGAGAGACAACTCCAACATCCAATGGATTATTTTCAGGAGGTGGGGCAATGTCATTAGGGTTGGGCTGAGGACTCTTTTGTGCCGGTTCTATTGTCGCAGGTGCCCCAGCACCCCAAGCTCCTTTGGGCGCCGAAGCTTTTGAGGGAGTTGGAACTGGTACACTATTACTTTCCACAGATTTCTTTCTTTCTTCTGCTTTTGCGGGCTGCGTGTTTCCAGTCTTTTTATCTCCACCTCGTCCACGTCCACCGCGATCTCGGCTTCCACCACGACCGCTGGGGGCGCTTCTGCCACGTCCTCGGCCGGGTGCTTGAGATCTACTGTTTCCACGATTACCTGCGCTTGAGGTTAGCTTTTTTTTTGCGGTTTTCTTGCTCACATCTTCCCAGACTTCCTCCACTGGGGGAGACTCGTCCCACCACTCTTCGATCTTTGCTTTGATCTTTGCTTCGTCGCCATTCAAAGTCTTCACGAGTTTATCCAGATCTTTCCATCTGTGGGAGGGACATGCACCTCGAAGCTATAAACGATAGTAAAATGCTGCGGTCAGTTTCGAAGTTGTCGATGTATGCAATACCGTACCAATGTCGGTATCATGTATCATTAGAGGAATCAAAAATTTCAGTACGACAATGACGTAGAACTCTACGGACCAAATCCAAAACACATTTCGCGTTTTTGACAAAACATGACGACCTCGAATTGCAACGTACATTATCCATTTGACCTCCGTCTTTTTTTCTGCTATTACCATTAGTTCGCCCTCCGTTTGGCATTTCTTGTGCTTGTTTGTGGGTATACAGCAGAAGTCGAGGTAAAGGTGGTTATTGATCGTACTGTCAATATCCTGTTTGTGTGCCTTTGCCTTCCAATCAATAATTTAGCCGAGACAGCCTGTCCGTCGATGATACTGTACTTGTCTGTCGAACTCTAACGAAAATCCGAGTACAAGTACAAGTAGTCACGTTGGTCGGCGTCATTGCCAGTGTAACGTATGTATTTTTCAAATCTTCCTCAAAGCATCTTTTTGGCGACGTCACTTGAACGAGACAACTCTTGACAATACAGTACCTCGTACCCACGAAGAAGAGCTCTTGCGATGCAACAACCGCTATCATCGGATGGAATTATCCGAGATTCATCCAAACAAATGGATGAGGAAAACAGAAATTCTACCAGTTATCGAAAAATGGAGAACGTCGATCCAAATTATCCTCTTGACGGCAAGGATGATGACATGTCCATGGCAGCGTCGATTGCCTCCTCAGTCATGACAGCAGATGGGATCGAAGATACGACAGGTTTTGCAATCGTCTGTCTTGTAATATTGATCGGAGATATGGCCAGGGGTGTAATGTTTCCGTCATTGTGGCTTCTCGTTGAGACCTTGGGAGGAAGTAGTGTAACTCAAGGTTATGCAGTTGCCGCATTCTCCTTCGGGCGCATCCTCGTCTCGCCAATGTTCGGAACATGGAGTGTCAAGCATGGATACTCGCAAACGCTGTTGATCAGTTGCTCTATTTTGCTTGTTGGTACTCTGTTCTACGCACAAGCTCAGAACGTTGGAAGGCCGGAATTCCTAATCTTCGCACAAATTCTGCTAGGAATTGGTTCCGGAACTCTTGGGGTAACGCGTGCTTTTGTAGCAGAAGTCACAGCCACGCGGAACAGAACGACGTACATGGCTTGGATTACAGCAGTTCAGTATGCCGGGTTCACCGTTACGCCATTTGTAGGAGCTTTCTTCAACGAAATTTTTCAAGACACTGATTTCAAAATTGGGTAAGTTATGTGTGTTTTGTGGAATATTTAGTTATGATTATGGACGCTTAGTATAATTCCTCCTTTGCCATGCCACATCAGTTTGATCAGGATAAACATGTTTACAGCCCCAGCTTATTTCATGTCTATCACTGTGGCGCTCACCCTATTCATGCTTTCAAAGCACTTTCAAGACCGCACTAGAAGTCAAAACCCTAAGGATATTAAGAAAAGGTCTGCCAAGAGGGCTGCAATTGATGACCATGCGAATCAAATGACGGTGGTAGGCCTTTCCATTTACGATTGCTGCATCGTTGGGTGCATGATGCTGAATGTTGCAACGAAGGGTAGCATCGGATGTTTTGAAACCCTTGGCATCTCCATAGCAGAATCCCTTTTTGGAATCTCATCCACAATTGCAGGGACCATTGTTGGTGCTTGCGGGACGGTCGGGGTAATTTCTCTTTTATCGATGGGAAAAATATCTCAATTCCTGTCTGATATTCAACTTATCTGTGGTGGAATGCTTGTCATGGCAATTGGTATCCTAAGTCTGACAGTTATAGAAGAGGACGACGAAAATCCTTCGTGGAGATATCTTCTGTCCATCTTTATGATCTACTCTGTTGGATACCCCATTGGTCACACGGCTGTGATTGGCTTGTTCTCGAAGAGTAAGTCCCGATAATTTGCTAACTGACCGTGTTGACTACTAAATGAAACTAATCCGTTTGTCGTCCGAAGTTGTTGGGAGGAGACCTCAGGGGACACTGCTTGGTTGGTTTGCATCCGCTGGATCGCTGGCCCGGCTTGTTTTCCCCGTCGTTTCCGGTTATGTGGAACACTACCTTGGTTTTGTCACCCTTTTCTACATCTTGACGGGAGTCTTGGGCGTTTCCACGGTTGTCACACTCTACAACCAGAACACACTCACGATGTTGTCACAGTAAACAGGTACAGAATAAGTTTGTTTCAATTTGCTGATTGCAGTGTTCTGTTTCCGACCTTGGTGGTACAATTTCGTCGTAAAAATGGGTTCGATTCAATATGCGAACCCTGAAATTGACACCTCTCCCTTCATGATTCTGTCGCATAAAATAAAAGGAATAAAATACACTACTGTACCGAAACTAAACCACAAAGATCATGACTTACCTCTCAAGAACTGCAAGAGCTCTCAGCCGTTCATCGATTCTAGTCAACAGGGTGACTCTCCGCCCCATGACAACGATTGGGGAAAATTTAAAATCCAAGGTGCGAATTCCCTATCATCTGATGTTTCCTGCTATACCTAACCCTTTTAAAATGTCCTTACCAATGTTGCCTTCACTATCGTCACTATCGTGTCAAGGAGCGATATGAAGAGTCTCGCTTCATGAAAAAACAAGATGAGATGAACCTTGATAAAATGAAGCAAATGAAGCAACTTAAAATCGAAGAAGAACAAATGCTGCGGGAGGAAGCACTTCATAAGGAGGTGATTGAACCTCGTATGCACGACGCTGCCAAAATTCTGGAGGAAACTGGCGAAAGAGTTAGTGATGCCGCACTAAAGAACCTCTCGAAATGGAAACTTGATCTTTAACTGTTGAAGCACCATCGAAACATAATGAACAATAATGACACTGAACCATGAGGAGTCGGGCCTCATCGACTTTCCAATAGCAAAGGCATGCACTCATAAAAACAAATAACATGCATATTCAACATGTCTTCCATACATTGCAAATGTGATCAAGAGGGAGAGATATCGTCAAAACGTGCATGCAGCAAGGAGCATGCAGTTCTTGTTCCGCTTCTTCATTGTTCCGTTCCGTTAATTTATATGACGATAGTGATTCATTCGATTCAAAGACCAAATCAAAACTACCACATCAAACACGTCGACATCCAGCATGCCCAACATTGGACCACTCCTGAATTTCTTCCTTTCTCTTCAAATTTGTTCGGCTATGACACGGATGAAGACTCGAATTGTCTCGTATAATGTGCTATCATCGCACCTTGCAAGAGTAGAACAGTATCCAACCTTAAATCCGAAGCACCTGAAGGCATCGGCTCGTTTGCTTGTCATCTTTCAGAGGCTTGACGAGGAAGTCGCTAAGAAGTCAATCATTTGTCTCCAAGAGGTGTCTCATGATTGGGCAGGGAGCTTTCATACCTATTTTGCCAATCGAGGCTACCACCTTGTTTCTGGCCTTTACGGTAAAAGATTCAACGGATATATGGGTTGCGTGATAGCCTGGCCGGTGGATACTTCGGATGTCCTACAAGTTGACATTTCAAGACTAAGCGATAAGAGAAAAGGGGGATGGCCACGAGAACCGAAACAAGGAATCTTAGCCAGGTCTTTCACTAGAATCGTGGGGAAAGGTCGAGATGTACTCGAAGCATTGGGTATACTCGGTCGCCGAGCAACTGACCACTGGACAGTGGCAGAGAACCGATTCAACATTCTCTTGTCGATTCAATTGCAAGATAAACTCTCTGGAAAGTCTTACTTTGTCTCGACCTATCACATGCCATGTGCCTTCTATGCTCCCATGGTCATGACCTTGCATGCTGATCTCGCAGCTCAGCACGTGCAGTCCTTGGCAGGACAATGCCCGTACGTACTGGCAGGTGACTGGAACATCAAACCTTATGATTCGACATACAACTTGTTGACTACTGGTATGATGGATTTAGGACATCCCAATTGGCCAACACCAAAACACGGAACTGAATGGGCTCCATCGTGTCATCCCATGCGAAGTGCGTACTCCGAAAGCCAACATGGAGAGCCAGATTTCACCAATTATGCTCGCACGAGGGAAGAGGAACCGTTCATTGATACGCTTGACTATATTTTTTGTAGTGAACACTGGGATGTAGACGGCGTGTTGCCTCTTCCAAAACGAGAAAACGCACATGGTCCTTTCCCGAACTTGGACGTGTCAGAGCCCAGTGACCATATCTTGATTGCTGCAGATCTTTCATTGAAATAAAAGCAGTATTATAGAAAGGTAGTTTAGCTAGCTAGTAGCGTTCCGGTGCGCAGTCACAAGGAAAGCGAGACTATTCGAGGGAGAAGTCGAGTAGTCCACCTTCTCTGCATTCTCGCAATAATGTATTATGAATTGGCACTTCCTCATCGCCCAAGTCAAAGAAATATTTATTGCGCCATGTAAACTCTTTGACAGCAGCAGGGAAGTCAGACACGACATCCGTGTATGCATTCAGTCTTGGGACTGTCCCTTCGGGGAATTGGATGGCCTCTCTCTTTTCCACTGCCGCGGAAAGTTCATTGATTAACTCGTCAACTAGGCCACTGTGTTCAGAACCTGCTTGGCCCACTGATTTGCAACGCTTCGCGGCTCCAATCAGCATGAAGACGGCAATCCACATAAGCTTTTCGAACATGGCTGGCTTAAAGCTCGCAGCATCGACAACGTTGCACCTTAGTCCCAAATGCGAAAGGCGACGTGCAAAAGCCTCTGCATGAATTCCTGTCGCAGCAGTCAAACCCTCTGGATTGTAGGCCGTCACCCCATCCACTGCTTCAGCACCGATTGCAGTTACTGACAAATACAGAAGCACTTGAGTATTATCAAGCAAGCCTTTTTGCTCCAAGTAGGAATTCAAGTATCCATTTTGCAAAAACACTAGGTCACATTTGCGGCTCTCAGGACACTTTTCGATTATTCCATCAAGTGCATCGTTCCTGGTTGCAATTAGAATCGGGCCTTTGCCGTTTTCATCGATGTTGTCATCTCGACCAAGAACTATGCAATTTCCTGCTTCTGCAAGGGTACTTCCTATTCTCCCATTTCCAATGATTGTTGCAAAAGGAGCTTTAGAAGTTTCATCAGAGTCTCCAGCACGCATATCTCTCTTTTCCAACCACCTTTGCTTCTTTTCCCATTTTGTAGAATGTCGAGAAGCCGACGACTCACGAGGTGATGGGCGAACATCGCTCGGCATCCACGCTGCAGTAAATGCAACAGCAGAAAGCGCGAGAATGAGAGAGCGATGATAATGGCACCTGGTCATTTCGTTTACTGGAATATGGTAATGTAACGACGTTGTCATGAAATAGTCAAGAGGTTGAATCCTTTCATTGTATCCACATCCACAGTAGTACAGTAGGTTACCAACAGTTTCCAGGACAGGTAGAAGTCCTTCATTTAGTGACGTCACGTACTGCGCCCACGTCTCCCACGAGAGCTCTCCTGCCCATAATCCCGTCTGCCTGCTACCGCTGTCCC